CTGATGAAATGAAATGTGGATATATCTCTTGTGATACAACAGTGAATAATTGTTATCAGGACTGATTGTGAGGGTTGGAAATGTAAAGGTAGATGTTTTGTAGCAAGGAAGGGAGTGATTAACTTTGCAGTCTAGGAGTGGACATTCCTGGGACCATGAAGGGAGAAGAGTGGAGAGCGGGACCCTACCCAGAGAAGCAGCGATAGCCAGAGATGGAGATAGAGACAATGACGTGGAGAGATGGAGCAGTTGGGGACTTTAGACTCAGAGAGGGAGAGGGCCTGTGTGCTGATAACAGGGTTGGGGGTGGGGGTGGGGAGGATGCAGGCTTGCAGGGTATAACCTTTGGTTGGTTGATGATGCATGGAGGGGATTGCAACCATGGCAATGAAACAATATACGATAGGATGAATGCAAAACTAATGTTCTCCTATCATAATAAAACATTTTTTTAAAAGTATTTTGACCAGATCTTAAATGAAAATATTTTAGAGTGTGGGAACAGGATATGCAAGTGACAAGGCTGGAAAACTTTGGGTTCAGGAACAAATGAGCTAAGATTAGTAAGGAGCCTCAGCTACGTGGCTGGTCAGTCAACTAGATGCTGAAAGTGCAGCAAGTCTTTAATTTTAAGAAACTCACAGTCTAATGGAGGGCACAGATAAGTAATCAGTTCTTATTATTACTAATTTTTACAAAAAATATTTCACAACGTATCTACTCTTTCTAATAAGAGATTTCTCTAAAACAGTGTAATTATGAGAAATCATATAGCCACATTAGAGAGAGTTTTTGAAGCAGAAAATATCCCATCTTCCCACATAAATAGACCAGTTTCTTCATTCTCCTCTCATTGCCATGCTTTAGTCCACGACAATCTTTCCTCATCGAAAATCTCTTGTTCCACTTTGTCAGATGCCAAACATTTATTTAAAGTGCAGCCCAATTTATTTTCACATTCTGCAAGAAATAGTTTCCCTATTGACAGTGATCTTATCTCTTGATCTTACCACCTGATTACCTGGAATTTACACCACATATTTCATCAGACATAATCTTGTCAGATTAGTGTCAATAGAGCCCAGGAGTCCCAGAAGGAGAGGTGAAAAAAAGCAGGATAGAAAAATATTTGAAGATATAATGGTGGAAAAGTCTCCCATATTGGCTAATACACATCTAAGGAGCTAAGTGAACCCAAACAAAATAAATCCCAAGAAATTTACCTCAAAGAGTACAAATGCAAAGATAAGCACACCAAGAAACAGCATAATCAAACTCTGAGCGCTAAAGGCAAATTAAAATTCTTGAAAGCAACCAGAGAAAAATTGCTTGTTACTTATGAGGAACAATTCAAATGAGAACAAATTTTTCATCAGAAATCATGGAGGTCAGAAAGAAGTAGCACAACATTTTTAAGTGTTGAGAACAATGAAGCTGTCCACCTAAAACCACATATTCATTAAAAACATAGTTTAGAAATGAAGGTGAAATAAATTATTCTCAGATGAAGGAAAGTTAAAATCATTTGTTGCCAGAAAACCTATTATTTAAAAAAAAAAATCTAAAGAAACTTCTTTAGAGAGAGGGAATTATAATGGAAATGAAAATTTAATTGGAACATCAGGAATGAAGGAAGAAAATGTAAAGAAATAGGTAAGCACAATAATCTATTGTTCTCTTGAGTTTTCAAAATCATAGTTAACAGAAGCAAAAATTTTTAATAGTGTCTTTCCTGGATTAAATTGTTGGTTGGTAGTTGTGGTAAGTGATGTTGAGTCGGTTCTGATTCATAGTGATCACAATGATAGGGTTTCCAAGGAGTAGCTGGTGGGTTTGAACTACTGACCTTGTGGTTTGCAGTCCAGTGCTGGCCCTACAGCACCACACCAGGAGTGCAGAAAAAATTGTGTCCCCCACAAAATATGTGTCAATGTGACTGGGCAATGATTCTCAATAGTTTAGCAGTTATGTAATGATGTAATTTGAAGTTGTGCTATGATGTACTCATCCCCCAGGATGTGATCGAATCTGATGTGATTACTCAATCTGTTGTAATAGAATTAGTATGTATTGTAACACTTTTACTCAGGTATTTTAATATTAATATCAATTAGTTAATATTAATATCAATATTAATGCATCAATACAACGGGCTCTATTCATAAACAGTGCACTTCATTTTGATGAAGGAATGTATACTTAGAGCTGTTCTTAATACTTATACATTTTTGCAGAACGTAGATATAGTAATGGAATTCACAGGATTAAGATAGGCAATGTATGCCAAAAAACTCTTTATAAGGCAAAAAGTACTATAAAGTGCTAAAATATTTTAGTCTCATACAGTCAATTTTTAAAAGAAAAACTGTAAAGGGACCTAAGTATGGTAATGCATCAATATTCTACTCGAAGAGGTAAAATGTAAACATTAGCAAAGTACAGTAAACTTCATATTTATATTGCAATCTCTTGTTGTTAAGTGCTGTCGAGTCAATTCTGACTCATAGCAACCCTGTATAGGGTTTCCAAGGAGCAGCTAGTGAGCTTGAATTTCTTAAGCAACCCTAAAAACATCTAGACAAAGAGATATATTCAAAAACACTAAAGATAATTCAAAATGGAATTAAGAAAAACAAAAAAACAAAAACCACTTTCAAATAACCCGCAGGAAGTCAGGAAAGAAGTTAACTGAGGAAAACAAATGATTAAAGAATAGTACAATAGAAGACTTATATAAATATAAATGTCTAAATATTCCAATTAAGTGAAAGAGATAGGCAGAATGAATTAAAAAATATAATTCAACTCTATGCTGTCCATAAGAAAATCATTTCCATGTAATGTTAAGTAAAAATAAAGGGACAGAAAAACATAGACCACACAAATTCTAATCAAAAGGGAGGTGAGGAGGCTAGATTGGGAGTGTCTACTTTAATATCAGATAAAGTAATATTTAGAGCAATAAAAATCACCAGGGACAAAGGGCACATGACATAATTATATCAATTCAGCAGCAGATATAACAATCTTAAATGCATCTGTCCCAGAGAATAGAGCTGCCAAATAACTGAGGGAAAAATTGACAACTAAATGAGAAATAAACAAATCCACAAGTATAGTTCAAGATTTTAACACCGCTTTCTCAAATATGAGTAGAATTAACAGGTAGAAAGACAGCAAAGATACAGAAGAATAGACCACACCATCACCCAACAGGATCTAATTGATATTAATAACTCCACCCAACAACAGCAGAATACATATTCTTTTCAAGCATACATGGGACATTTACTAAGACAGATTATATCTTATAATTATATCTTAACATATTTTAAATAATCACAATCATCCAAAATATGTTCTTTGAGCATAATGGAATCACATTGGAAACCATTAACAGAAAGTTAATGGGAAAATTTCTAAACCTTTAGAAATGAAACAACATATTTCTAAAACAAGTATGCATGTTTGAAGGGACTAGCTTTACAGTTTTGTGACTAATCCTGTCTCTGAATGTTACCTGTTGGTTGTTTTCTCCTTGTGTGTGATAAAATCTTGTACATGTGTGCTTGAGTCACATAGATATAGGTTTCATAGGGAAAGGAGAATTGATATTTGTTGAGCACGTTTAGGTTGTGTTAATGTTGGTCATTAACTGTCTTATTTAATCTTCATAACCAACTATCATGGTGTCTCTCAGCCAGGTAAGTATGCTGAGGACATAGCAGCTGAGGATTCTTGACAGTGTGGTGTGTTTGAGGTAACATTAAGGAATTCTGAGTGGCCAGTGTCTGTGAGAACTGGTGAGAGGTAAGAATAAGGCGGTGAAAAAATCTAGGTCAAGAATGGACCCCAGTGCCTTGGTAAGGAGTCTGAACTCTGAAAGGCGGACAAGCAAGTGAATTATAGTTTAAGATTACTACTTTTAAGATTAGTAAAAGTGGATTGGAGTGGGTGAAGAAGTTAGTGTGGTGGTGACAGTAATCTAGTTGAAAAGTGGTGAGGATTATTAATACTACTATCATTTTATACATTGTTGTTGTTAAATGCTGTCGAGTCGGTTCCGACCCATAGTGACCCTGTATAGGGTTTCTAACAAGTGACTAGTGAGCTTGAACTGCGGACCTTGCATATCAAGCTGACTTTGCAGTCCAGCACAGAAACCCACAATGCATTTTACCCATACAGTATCCAAAAAGAAAAGTTGAGAATTTTTCAGGGATAATAATATTAAAGGTGACAAGACAAGCCTATTATAAATTTGTTGTTGTTAAGTGCTGTCAGTGGGTTCCTGACTCAGCAATCATGCTTAGAATTCCCGAGGCTATAAATCTTTGAGCGAGCAGAAAGCCTCATCTTTCTCCCTGGAATGACTGGTGGGCTCCAAGCGCTTATTTTTGTGGTTGGCAGTACAATACTTACACTGCAGAGCCGCCTCGCTTCCCATATTATAGTGTTTCAATATTTAACAAGATAACACACATTCAAATGAGTTAAGGATGTACCTGTTGTTGCTTCTAAGTGCTCTCAGGTTGGTTTCGACTCATAGAGACCCTGCTTAGAGTTTCTGAGGAGCGAATCAGAACCGCCTCAATACGTAACAACAATTATACATGTAACATTTAATGATATTTCACCCATTTCCTCATTTGGTGAGGAAAACAAGACTCACAGAGGGTTAGTGCGGTTAACTCGAATTAGCAGAACCATATTCCTATCAAATAAAAAACAAACATAAAAAAATAAACCCTCTGGTGCAGTTGTTTCTGACTCCTAGCGACCCTATGGGACATGTTAGAACTGCCCCTACACGATTTTCAAAACTGTAAATCCTTAAGAAAACTGATTGCCACATCGTTCGTCTGCGAGTAGCTGATGGGATCAAATCACAGACTTTTCTGCTAACCCAGAGTTTAACCACTACATCACCAGGGTCCCTTCCGTACCCCCCACTTCCCCAGAATATCCCTTGCAAATCAGGAACCTTCGCCCCTTCCTACCCGCTGAACTGCCAGGTGAGAGTTTTCAAAGTCCATTTGAAAGAAATTGGCAACGAAGGGCAAGTTCGCGGGTCCAGGTGGGAAGTTTTTTGGCCGTCGCCTCTTGAGGAAATCAACAAAGAACAGAAAGATGATGACACCCAGCAGGACAGTCCTGAGGTGGAATCCTGCCCAGAGAGCGGCCACCAGGGAACCCAGCGCAGCGAGCATGGTTCCAACCAGTCAGCTCACCAGCCGTCTGAGAAGGTGACTGTCCCAGTTCTGATTCCGGGATTCCAGCGCCGCTCCGCCCTCCCCTTCGGCCCCGCCTCTCCCTGCCCCCCATTTTGCCTCGCCTCTCTCCCAGTGTAGGACCAACCTTCCCCAATCAGTGGGTCCAACCCATGAGCCCGCCCCTCCCATCAGTGCCGGCAACGCCCCCTCCATGTTAGTGGCAGAGTCAGGCAGTCTCCAGGCGCTAGAGTCCCCGGAGCAGGCGTTGTAAAAGGCCAGAGTATCAGTTTTCTTTTCTCTCTAGTTAGAAAGCTCATGTTTCTTTGAAACCTTTGGAGCTCTTGGATTTACGGTTTTAGTGCCTCTCAGAGAAAGCCCCAGGTACTTGAGCTCCAAGCTTCTCAGTCACCCATTCACTCATTGATTGGAATCCTGCCTGTTCAACAGTAATACCAACAGCACCTGATGCGGCATAAACTTTTGTATATGCCAGGTAGCATGCTTGCCTCTCTACATAAATTCCCTCATCCTGACAAAATGATGCAAGAGATGCTCTTGTTAGTCTAGCTTTACAAGGGAGGAAACGAAGAATTATGGAAAGTTAAGTACTAATTATTGTTGTTAAGTAACTCTGGAGTTGGTTCCAATTCTACCCAGAATATGGTTTCTAAGGAGCATCTGATGGGCTTGAACCACTGACCTTGAGGTTAGTGTTTATCTTATAACGGTACACCAGGACTTCTTTAACTGGGGAGTAAATGAATCCATCAGTGAGAAACACCTCACAGAATTACCAGATTTAAATTAAAATGAGCTCCTGAATTTGAAGTGTTGACGATTAAAAAGTATATGAAAGAATGGAATGAAGTACTGATATATCCTACAACATGAATGAACATTGGAACCATTATGCTAAGTCACATTCTGTTGATTTGAAATGTCCAGAATGAGCAAATGTGTCAGTACAGAAATTAAATTACTGATTGCCTAGGTTTGGGATGGATGTTGGGTTGGAGAGGGGAGGTAGAAGTAGTTGATGTGTTTTATAACATTTGAAAATACATTTTTTTCTTACCCAGAAATTCCACTCCTAAACATGA